CCATGATACCAGAGCCTGTCTGTATAATGTCTTGTGACGTCCACGGCCTACCCCAGTTACCACTACTGTGCATGTGTGTCAAGGACAGAAAGGCAGAYGTGGCAGTGGAAGGTGTCAAAGCAGTTTGGAGAGAAAAACAAAGTAAAGAACAACAACAAAACAAGAAAACGATTAATCGATTTATTAAAATAATCGTATTAAATTAGTCATCGATTATTTTAATAATCGATTGGTCGTCGATTAATCGATTAATCGTGGCAGCCCTACAGATGATACATTTGTTTGTTTGGGTAAAGATATACGTAGAACGGATGTTTGAGATGATGCAAACAGAACTTGGTTTAAACTTACCATATTTATTCATGTATAATACAAATCATCATTTTTTGATCTTAAAAAGCATAAAAATCTAATTATCAATAACCCGTATATAATACTAGCCCCTCCACTTTATGGACAATTTTAAGGTTAAATTTCTAGTATTATACATGAATAAATACAGTAATTATCATTAAATTTGGATAAAACTATATACAGTATTCTAGTATTTTATTAGTTATGTATATGGTAGTGTTGGACGATATTGGCAAAAAATGATTAATTGTGTTATTTAGCTGATAATTAAGATGACAATCACCTGGAGACCCTAGAAGCCTGCATGTCAGTCACATGACCAATTTAAATCACTCTAGTGAGAAAGACTTGCTCTCCGTAAAAATCTGTTCCAAATTGTGTCAAAAAGTACAGACTTTAGGCTATACATCAATTTTTAAATTGTGTTGACAGACCAAGTAATACCGGAGTTATGAAAAATAAATTACAGAAAAATAAATTACATATTTGACTGACCGGGGCCTGGTGGCATTAATCGTATTAATCGTCAAGTGTCAAAAAATAAATAAATCCATTAAAGTTTTTCTTAAGAGTAATTGCATACAATACAATTTTGCCCAACCCTAGTATAAGGCTCACAAAACACATTACCTTTAAACATCCAATTAAATTTTGTTAAAAGAGAAAGTTATTACAATGTTAGAGGATAGAGGTGTTTGTAAAACCTACATTTAGAACCAGTTTGAAGGAACAGTGTACTTCAATCCAAGGTATAAGATGATTAATAATGTGGAGATTGATGTGAAAAATACAGGATTATGTTTAAGAAAATGATAAAAGTTGGTTTGTTAAAGAAACATGACAGTATAACGTGCATCCGTAGGAATTGTTGCTCGAGATAGAGTTGACTCTTATTTTTTGTAGATTAATATTGTTTTCATTTATTTGGAAAGAAAAAGGGCAGTTAAGATCATTTTCCTCTTTCTGCTGCCTTCATTTTATTTCTGATTTGTATTTATAATATATTTTGTTTTAATGTAAATAAATGAATAAACTTTATGAATAAAAAGGTGCTGCCTCTCTGGACTCAGGGGCCAAAAGCTACGGCAAAATAAACTGTCTATATTTTGGTCCAGCTGGTTTTTGTACGGCTTCTTTTCTTGAATTTAACATTCAGGTCTAATTCTGTTTGTTTCCTGGGTCGCACTAAAGTAAAGAACACTTTCTTTTTTCAGCTTGACTGGGCAGAAACCAGTGTGCAATTATTAAACTGAGAAACTGTCAATATTTGCCGACTACTGCAGCTAGAGCCACATTACCATCCAGCATCATGTGATCTGGTGACATTAATGAAGACCTAATGGACCAGCAGCATAAACACAACAACAAGTCAGATACAGAAAACATGTTGGGATTTATCAGAGCAGGTTCATCATGAGCACAACTTTATGAGTTTTTTTGTTATATCACAGTGTTAGAGAACACAAAGCTCAGTTTTTTTAATATTGTGCAGCTCTGATCAGACTGGATGTCTGAACGCCTCGAACAAGTTAAAAACCAGTCCTAACAGGATCAGCTGCAGGCTGAAGGGTTTCAGCAGAGAGCAGCCCACAGAGCTGCAGCAGGTTGTTTTTCTCTCCAGCACTCAGAGCATCACTCAGGGGAGAGAAGGAGAACACCGTTCAGCCTGTCAGACACTGGTTTTATAACTAATGAACATTTTCTAAACCAGTCAAACCAGCTGAGCTCCTCCCTGCCTCCAGCTCAACTGTTTTACTAAACAAGAGAAGCTCCATCAGTTCAACATCTGCATCTAATCCAGACTGGATCCATTTGATCTTTTGCTCCGTGACGTTTCCATCTCTTCGTCTCTGAGGGGATTTTCTGGATCAAACAGGAAGCCTGGGCTCGCTCGCTCACTAGCTCGCTCCTTCGCTGCAGATTATTTCTGTCGACGTGTACGACCGAGCAGATGTGAGCCTGACCCCCCTCAGCCCACAGATATGCTTTATAAAAACTCAGGGTAATCCCACAGTAGCTAAAACACTGATTATTGCTCAACGATTCGAGCTTTTTCCAGGTTTTCCACAACAAAACGAGGCTGATGTTTCTGCAAACTCAAGCCTCTATTTCTCCAGATGAAGACAGGAAGCCCCTCAGGAGCAGGGTTAAGTTAATCTGTAATCTGATATTAATCTGTACAACAGAGTCAAATCAGTCAGAACACAACCTGATCTGCAGGAAATCTGTTTTATTGTGTGAAATTAGAAATTAAGACTCTTTTACTGTTTGGGCACCTATTTAAAGTAGTAATGTCTTCAACAAACACCAGGTTTATATTTAATATTTAACAAACACAAGGTTTAGATTTATTATTTAACAAACACCAGGTTTAGATTTATTATTTAACAAACACCAGGTTTAGATTTATTATTTAACAAACACCAGGTTTAG